TGTAGCGGGGATAACAACTCACGGTGCTGTCGAGGACAGACTGGTAGTGCAGTACCCTCTCCTGCAGCAGTTTGTTTTCCTCCAAAATCTTCTTGTTGTCTTCGTGCTGCTTCTTGTTTTCGGTCAAGTTTTTGTTGTCGGCCTGAAGGCGTTTGTTATCTTCCAGTGATTTCTGGAGCTCGGCAACCTGTTTCTCCAGCCCACTGGCCTGTGACGAGAACAATGTTATCAGTTATCGCTCTAAACAGACCTGTTGATACCTACTACAACACCTGTTATCACTCTTTACAAACGTGTTGATAACTGCTTCAATACCTTTTATCACTCTTTACAAACGTGTTGATAACTGCTCCAACACCTGTTATCACTCTTAACAGACCTGTTGATACTTGCTACAACACCTGTTATCGCTCTTAACAAACTTGTTGATACCTGCTCCAATACCTGTTATCGCTCTAAACAGACCTGTTGATACCTGCTACAAACACCTGTTATCATTCTAAACAGAACACGCCTGTCTTCACCCTGGCAGACTGGGTGCGTGCTAGAGCCCAGCCAGCCCCGAATTCTCACTTCACTTCATAACCCTATCCGTATCTGAGCACGCTAGTGGGCATAGCAGCCTATGGAGTAAAGTGTTTAAGCCATGGCGCCATTCAGTCACTGCCAAAGTCACTATAGCCTTCATAGATGTGCAACCACAGTATTACAAAACCTCCACACTCACCATGACTCGCCACCAAAACAACCACAACATCTAAGCTAAACCTTATTGGCAGCAGCAAGGTTGCTGTTTCGAAACCGCCGTGTCTTGAAGTGTTGATAGCGTGGTACAAGGTGCTTGTATACGGGGATAGTGCAGATGGCTAGTAGATCTGGCAAATGCCAAATGTCTGCCGCTTGGTGTCTATCCAGCCAGTAAGCTTAGACACGAGACAAGTTTAAGGTGCCGCCGTGCCGGTAACGACTAGATATCGGCAAGGCGGCACCTTAAACTTGCCTCGAGTTTAAGCTTCCTTGCGGGATAAACACCAAGCGGTAGACATTTGGCAACTGTCAGATTTACTAGCCGTCTGCACTATCCCCGTGAGCACAAGCACCTTAACGGCCATAGTTCCGTAAAATCTCCACTGCGTCAGTGTCTACAATGTACAGCTAACTCTGCGGTACCCCAGTGTCACCCGAGTGCTGTGCTGTAGAGTCTGCAGGGCTCTGTGCCTCAGCATGACCACGCGTGTCCTAACGTACTTTGAGACTCTACCGCCTGACACGAGTAACCGCAGCAATATTGTCACAAGCCTATTTCCCAAAAAAGGATACGTTCTAGCGAATTTAAAATGACTTGCAGTGGTGGTTACCGTCACGTACGACAACTTTAAATTGTTCTCTGTTGCATACAAACGTCCTCAGGTTGCTACACTCAATAGTTTACGTATAATTCAAGTTGAAAGTTATGTTCCCGGAGAGTGACGTACGGCGGTAGAGCGTTAAGACTCTACAGAGTCTGTTAGTCTCCGTCCATGGGTCTATTCGAGCACCGTGATTTCACCGATTCACAACCCAATATCGAGTGTTCGTTGATTATTTAGTTCGAGTATAAATGTTATACTTGAACTGGTTTAGCTTGAGCCCCCTCCCACTGTATCAGGTGCATTGCTGTTCAAGACGCATTCAAATGTGTTAATTATATCAAAAGTGTTGCCTGAATTCGAATGCAGTAACTGAAATGCGCTTAGTTTATCACAGACTTCAACAAGGCACCCATTGTAAGTAGCACCATCCAGTGTTCTCAACAGCACCTGCTGCAGGTGACCCAGCTATTGCAGCAGATGACCCACTTTTTAATGCAGGTGACCCACTTTTTGCTGCAGATGACCCACTTTCAGCTGCAGGTGACCCACCTTCTGCTGCAGGCACTTGTGGTCCTCCTGCAGACGCTGCAAGGTGGCCAGCAGTGCAGGATCCTGCACCTCCTTCTCCACTATGACCTCCACCACCTCCACCTCCTGCTCCTCCTGCTCCTTCTGCACCTTCTGCACTTCCGCCTGCACCTGCCGCTCGAACTCCTCCTGCCACGCACTGCCCTCCTGCAATACAAATCCTGCAGTATAATATTGTACGGGCGGTACCTGCAGTACAAACAGGCAGCACCTGCAATACAAACAGGCAGCACCTGCAATACAAACAGGCAGCACCTGCAATACAAACAGGCGGCACCTGCAATACAAACAGGCAGCACCTGCAATACAAACAGGCAGCACCTGCAATACAAACAGGCAGCACCTGCAATACAAACAGGAAGTACCTGCAATAAAAACATGTACTCAAAAGCAATGAACGCTAACCTGAAATTTATTAAAAACAGGACACCCTGTTTGTTGCTGTTGGGACATTCGTTGAGCACAAACAGACAGGCACTGTTGTTCTTGCTGTTGCAGTGTATTCGCGTCAAATGATAGCTTCTGTTGCAACGTCAAGTCAACAGGAATGCACTTCTGTTGCAACAGGACGTGCTCCTGTAACTGTGCTGATGTCACCTGAGTCTCCTGTTCGCGCTGTTCAACATCGGTCTGTTGATGGGCTTCATGCGTATCAACAGTCTGCACAGGACTCTGTTGATTTATTTCTTGCGAAGGTTGCTGTTGTTGCTCCGCTTGTTGCACCTGTTGTTTCAATTTCTGTTGTTGCTGTTGCTGTGGTTTAACCCCAGTCGCAGGTTTCTTTCCACGAGCGCGTTTTCTCGCCATGTTGTCAATCAACAGATAAATAGTACCTTAACAGATAAATAGTACCACAACAGTATTACCGTCTCCACGCTCACGTCAACAGGAATAGCGATGAATCATCAAAGTCAAAAGAATATCTGTTGCAACACACACTCGGGTGTAAACAGGAACTTTACTGCCTCAAAAAGCGAATGTTGTTGCCACGGAAAGTTGTCAACAGGCCAATTGTTACCACTACAACGTCAGTAGAAATGTTGTTGCCAACACAACATCAACATGGACGCTACACTGCACCACAAGCACCGCACTGGCAAGCGCTACTGCGGCGAGCGGCGACAGCAAACAGAGATCAATACGGCACGAGGGAGGGGAGTGAGGGTAGAAAATGTGAGGGAAAAAGGCCGCGATGAAGAGGAAGAGGGAAAAGGGCCGCGATGAAGAAGAGGGGAAAGGGGAAAAGGGCCACGATGAAGAAGAGGGGAAAAGGCCGCGATGAAGAAGAAGACGGGAAAGGACCACGATGAAGAAGAGGGGAAAGGGTCGCGATGAAGAAGAGGGTAAAGGGCCATGATGAAGAAGAGGGGAAGGTTGAATAAATTAAGACGGAATTGAATGATGGGTGCATGTTAAACTAGTTCAACAGGGAGAGCGTGTATGTAATAGGCGTTAGCACACAAGCAGCCAGCAGGCGCGTACTTAAACACGTTGCTCCGATTGCATCATCTTGTACTATTATTTCATTTTTTGTACTATTATAAAACAGGGTTGCCAGACGGTCTTTTCTCGGACAAAATCCACGATTTAGTTTTTTTCAGTTGCGTTGGCCGGCTAAAATTTATTGTACTGGTACTTCCTAATTAAATTTAAAAACTGCCCAAAAATTAAATTGGATTTTTACACCGGCTTCTACAAATATATTGGTATGTATTGAGTTATAGGCTTTTTTGGCCTTTTTTTCGCGGACTTGGCCGTTTTTAGCGCATTTTCTCACTTATGGAAAAAATGCACTATTGTGCTCGCCATGTCCGTCTGTCGGTCCGTCCGTCCGTGACCTCAAGTTTTCGTCGACGAGAAAATGCGCTCTCTGTCACTCACTGCAGTGAGTATTGAGTTATATTTTTTAGACCATCTGGCAACCCTGAATTATGTACCACTACGTCCTAGAGAAATACAATTCGTGGTACACATATGACTTCGAAGTCGACGTGTTAAGGGGAACGTCTACCCTTAGCCTAAAAATCGAAAAATTACGTTTTCTGTGTTTTTCATCTCATTTCGTCGGGGGAACTATTACAAATCGAGAGCAACAAACCGCAAGGAAATAGCCGTCATACTTTTTTCGTCAGGTCATTTTGAACGTTTATAAAATGAATATCTTATAACCATAATTTATGAAGACTTCTTTAATTAAACCTGTATATAAAGATCGTTATTGGCGTTAAGTGAACTATTCTGGGCTTATATTGTATTTGTAGCTTGGGAAAAGACGCGTCTTAAGCAGCCGACTTTATCTATATGTAGGGGCTGTAGTTTTTGCATTAGGTCATTTAAAATGACCATCTTAAACCAATATTTACCAATTTTTATGTAAGAAATAGTATTTCTAGATACTTATTCGCATTAATTGCACTGTGTGGGTGCGCAGCCAGTGAAGATCGCGTAATATCGGCGTCACATGGTCGAATTTTCACTCGTCACACATGAGTAGCGAAGCAGCGTTCATCACGGATTGCAGTTTATTAAGTGCAGTAGTCGTAATTGAATAGAATAGAGTGTGGCATTACCATAGTAATGAGAACGAGCGCACCACGAGGGCCTCGAGAGACCGGCTGACCCTAAGTGTTCGTCGCAGAGCGCCAAAACAAGCGGTGGTGACTTGGGATTGTTGTCAATCAATCAATCAATCAATCAATGTGATTGATTGTTCATAAAAAGTTCAGCTGAACGCCGATATTGCAAACCGAAGATGCAGGGGTGACGAACTGGTAGCCGGACTATTTGTCGAACACTAATAGAGTTTTACGGAAGCCAATGCTGGCGCCGAACAGTAGCAAATCAAATAAACTCGGTTTTCGAAGCATTTAGCTGGAGTTGGTTGGAACGCATTAGATTTAAGGCGGCGTCCATGCAGACAGACGGCTGGTCCTGCAGCGCTGCAGAATTTGCCGGCGCACAGTAGCCATAAATTTGAGTGTCGTCGGTGAACATGTGCGGATTCAAACTATGTGAATCAATTATGTGCAACACGTCGACAGTATATAACAGAAAATGGATCGGTCCGACGACTGGCCCCTGTGGTACGCCTCATGTGACCGACGATGGCGTAGAAGAAGAGTGCCCGCGTCTAACGCATTGGAGTCTATTGCCGACTTAGGGTACGCACACAGTGAAAGCAGGTTTGCCCGCGCGGGCTACCTGCTCCAACCTGCCACAAGAATGAACATTGGATAATAATGTAAGTGTTCACAGTGAAAACCTGTACGAATAGGCTTCTGTATGCTAAGGTTTCAGGTGCCAGCCTGAGCAGGTAACCAGCACGCTGGCAACCTGCTTCCACTGTGTGCGTACCCTGGGACTGGGACTTCCGCAGCACCGTGCCACGCATGCCGAACGATACGTTAAATCGCGTGTCAACTGCAGCCGACAGGTCGAGTAAAGTCATGGTTGAACTAGTATAAGAATGACCCATGAGAAGCTCATTTTTGCGAATGTAGTTTGTTGTTCGCCTGTGACGTCACTAATCCCAGTGACGTCACGGGCATTAACCAATCACCGTAATACGATCAAACCAGTCAACCAATCCGTCATGGGAATGACGGGATTGATTACGTTTCTCGATCTCAGTGACGTAACAAGAAAGCTGAACTGAAAGACTAAATCCTCGTAAGTCAACCTTGTATAGTTCAACCATGAGTAATGTCAGTGCCGCATTGTACACTCCACTGCTCGAAGAATATCTGAAAGCAACTCCGGAACTGTGGTTTACGTCGAGTGGAGATGACGGTATACAGATTGGAGACGAGGCATGTGACCGGCCCGCTGTAGATGGTTGCTCAGCTGTCGGGCTAAACGCGTTCCAGTAGTGTGAATACATTCGACAGGTTAGAAATGGGTCGATAAGATTCGCGGTCTGAAGCGTTAAGGTCTGTTTTCTTAACAGTGGCGTAATGTAAGCAGATTTGAAGTTCTCTGGGACAACACCGTCAGTGAGGAAGCGGTTGGAAAATTTGACCAGTAAGGGCACTACGAGGACAATATTCCATACAAGTAAAGTATTCGGCAACGGATCGCTTGCACATTGCTTGTGAGATAGCGCGCGCACTGTCGCTGTGACATCGGCTGCAAGGCAGGTGAAATTTCGCAGTGCACAGTCGAACGAGTACGGCTTTAATAGTGCCTACAGAGCATCGGCGCACAGCACAAGGGTTTTGTTTAAAGAAAACATAAAATTCATGTACGTTAACATCACCAGCAGTATTTATATGACCTTTTCCCATGACTTTATCCAGCGAACGCCACAGTGCAAGGCAGCGCGTCGACTCTTGGCACCAAAATGACTCCCTCTTAGATCGAAAAAGGTCGACATGATTCCGCCGCGCGTCTCGCAAGAGCAGGCCGCAGCAGCAGGATTGTCACGTCTCTTCTCAACTTCTGACGGTGGAAAGCCCGCTGGACTATTCGAAACCATCCCCCCTCTCAAGAGACCCGACATTCATCGTCGAACAGTAGCAAATCAAATAACAAGCAGGGTAATATGATTTCTTACTTTAACAAGCGGTGTTATTTGTATTTTTCTTTGAACAGTTAATCGGATGCTCGCTGGGGACAGAAAATTTCGTGCTGGAATTAGGCCATCACGCCAATCGGTAAAATCGATGTCGTAAAGTTGCGAAATATAGACTAATAGTGCAGACCAAGAGTCAGGCCGACACAGTCGAGACGACTTCAGTTTCTAGCGCAATATCAGCCAGCATCTGCGCACGTAATGATATGCAGCATACACGTAACATGCACGTATCTGTGTACGCAACACACATAACACAGCTTACACATAATACAGCACTCACCAGGGATGAGGGAACAGACACCGTTGGGTGCAGCCTGCACAGCAGCTGTGTGTAGCTGTGCACAGCAGCGGTGCTCTGTGCCACCCTCTGCACAACACAGCATAAAGAACAGCATTAAAACTACGATCTCTCATCATCAATTATCTCCACCATCACCCCATCATTACCCTCATCACTCTCACTTCCCTCATCACCTTCACTTCCCTCATCACCTTCACTTCCCTCATCACCTTCACTTCCCTCATCACCTTCACTTCCCTCATCACCTTCACTTCCTTCATCATTCTCACTTCCCTTATACCCCTCACCATTAATACCACCCTCACCCTCATCACCCCCACTCTAAATCAACAACAACAAGGCCCACCTAACCCACCAAAACTTACCTGATCCTCTAAGTCCATTCTGAAACCCACCAATTCCCCCACCTGGTCCCTCAGTCCCCCACCTGGTCCCCCAGTCCCCCACCTGATCCCAGGCCTCCAGGGCTCTCCACCCCCATCTGGTCCCTCAGTCCCCTACCTGGCCCCCCAGTCCCCACCTGGTCCCGGGCCTCCAGGTCGGCCTCCCGCTCCTTGTAGGCCTTCAGGACAGCGCTGTTCTTATCCCGCAGCTCCTGGGGAGAGCGGGGAGACGGGGCGTGAAATGTAGCAAGAAGCGTGACGTGAAACACATGAAACATGACAAA